TTAAATAGTTATGCTATTTGTTAATTTTATTATTATTTATAGGTCTCTATTTCTACCGAAACAAAGGTTGTATTACATTAATATCCGAACAAACATAATATGACCATGTTACTAATAGTTCTGATCTTTGGCTTTAATGAATATGCAGTGATTTATTTCTCTTCCTATGGAGATAAAATATAAATTAGTTATCGACAGAAACTGTCTGATCGTTGTACATTTTAATAAATTGGTTGTTTTAATTGTTGTAGAATTTACATTTAATGATGAAGACAATTGTTTGTATTTCTCAATTAAGGTTTAGAAAGGATGAAATACTACGAATATGAAATATGGCTTAAGTGATTTCTACCATTGCAATCTCCTATCCTGCAATATCTAATTCATTTAACGTTACTTACTTACTATTTAGCAAGTATGCTTTCGCAAATACTTACACAATGAAAATATGACCGTTCTCTAGTAATGACGATTAACTTAAGTGCGAGGTTTTCGGTCGTCGAACTTATTACGTAAACAAATGTAGTATATCTGAAGACAGTACAAATATACGTATACCGCACAGCGTGGGTTTTAAACAAAGATCATATTCCGCTATACAGATTGATTCGTTTGCGGTCAAACTTCATTAATCTTTGGAACTGCACCTGTCTTGCCATAATATTCCTTGTCTTTTATAGTAATTATACGTCGCTATGTTTCCTCGATTTCTCTATATCGATATTCATAAGTTAAATAGCATTTACGTAAAGTTGGCAAGAGATTAAAATTCAAATGGGATGGCTCTCGTTCCCTTGAGGGTAGGTCTTCTTTGGGACACTGAGTGTGTCAACATTTGTCACATATTCCAGAGAAGAATTCCATTAAGAATCAAAATGGATAAGGATTTTATGTTTGTTTGATTTTCATTTATTAAATCCTTGTTTATTTCCAAATGTCTGTTATACTTGTCGGAAACAAACTTTATTTTTAATACCCAAGCTAATACTAAGTACATTTGAAGTACTTGGAAAATTAAAGCTTTGAGACCCAACATTTAATTAATTGACGTTAAAAGATATACAAGTGTCAAAATGGTATAAATTGTCTCATTATAAGATTGGTTATTCAAGTTTCTAGTGAATAAATTAGCATTTAACAACCTTTGAATATGGAGAAATGTCATTTTATATGTCTATTGCATCAGATTAAGTCACAATATTAACAATCGTATATAATCGTACTTTAAATATATGGCGATGTTGGTGAGGGATTAATAACAATTTGTATCAATAGCGTAATATTTATTGAATATGAAGTAATGTCAATGACTTGCGTAGAGTTTTAAAAATATATTTTTCGGCAAACCGCAGAAGCAAAAGTCAAGTGGTAATGGATTTTACTCTTTTTAGTGAGTTTGCATAGCATAATTATTAGAAATTGAGTATAGATAGGTACCTAAAGTCTAAGTAGGTACTTTTGTTGCTAATGGTATGTAGGCGGGGCATTAGCAAATAATGGATGGAACCGACAGCTACCAGCCCGTGGCCGTGGCCTATTAATAGGATAAGTATAAATGAATAAAAAGTAGTCTATATAAATTTTTATTCTAAATTAAACACTAACAAATAATAAATAGTCAGTCTTAGATTTATGTATAATTTACTACAGAAAAACCTACTAATGATTCTAATATAGAAAACTATGTATTTGAACAGAAATATATTATTTATGAAATATATTTCTTAATTTATTTCAGTTCAAATACATAGCTTTTACTGAGGATAAGGATTTCTACACAATTCTACAAACACGCCATTAGGTACATACAGGTAACACCTTGTAGGTAAGACTAGAGTCTATAAGTGTTTGTAAACTGTACTTTCATTACTTTACAAACGCATTTGCATAAACAAAAGGCTATCCACAACGGCATTTATATTTGCGTTCACTGATAAATTGTTTTGAAAGTAGCTGCTTAAAGCTTTGGGATATTGGATATAGAAGAATATTTGTGGTATAATTACTATTTTAGGTTAGTTTTCAACAATTTCGCATTAGTTGGTACATTTTGTGGCTACAAAAAGATTATTTATGATGCTAAAACCTATATACATAGCAATATGTACCTCTCAGATGTTGCCTTATATATATTATGCTTTCTTACGTAGTAATTGCACTACCATATTTCTTTCTCTTCACACGAGAACAAAGCTTGCAAAGTTGTTTCAAGGGATAAACAGGGTAACTATTATATATATAACTGCAAATCCTTACAAACGACTTTGTAGAAAATGAAGGAACCTGTCTGTATAAAATGTCAGAAATCGAAAATACAGTATAAGTACTTATCTTTATATACCACCAAGGAGATAATAAGAAAGGCTAGAACAGTGTTAACTATTGCTTTCAGCGATCGAGTTATCTGGCGTTCATCGATGGTAATAAGGCAGAATTAACAATTTTACTTAGAGGTAGCGGATATCGCAGGTGATAACTATATTTTAACGTATTTATTCAATTTATTGTATTCAGATGTTTCAATGCACATACAGTTGAAGTGTATCGGCGCGGCGTTACCATATAATAATAGTTTTTCTGTGGTGTTACTGATGTATTCTATAGTATTAAAGTGATGTAAAGATCTAAAAAATCCTCAAAGAACGTATAAAAAAAACAAAATATTATACAAACCCATTTTTAGTCGACTCAATAACAAATGAAAAAATGTTTGAAACTAAGAACTCTGTCAATTACGAACCGAAAAAATAAACCTTTTTTAAAGATAATGTTTTCAGATTGGTCCCATTGTTATTAGAATCGGTTCAGTATTGTGATTAAATCCAATTGTTAACGACGGAAGTCAGATTTTTAATCGATTTTATAATTAACGTTTACGTGTAGTTATTATTAAAATTAATAAAATACTTAAACAAAAATAGATATCACAAAAAAGCCAACTGAAAATATATCGTTATTAGATGGCAGAAGAAAAATATGAAATTTAGAAGTGGCCGAAAGTGTCGTCTATAGTATATGTAACAATAAATTTTGGCTTACAATTAGACTTTAACATTCCAGTGTAATCATAGTGTAAGTTTTTGTCCTCAGGAATGACAACACAAAAGTGCTTCGCGCATTAGTGTACAGAGCATTTTGCGATGTCTACTAACAATTAATTTTTGCTCTTCCTCTCCGCGTGTAAATTTATCAAATCTGTGCAAAACTGACATTCCAATGCGTCGCCGCGGTGGCTTTGGGTCGCTGGAATTCCATGTATTCTCACGCTACGATTTGTTATATATGCTCATGCTGTTGGAAATTGCTACCCACATTATCGCGTTTCAGGATTGTTAGTTTTTCTCGTATTTATAACTCACTTTTTCAGTCTACCGTTGTAATGATATTTATGATAGTAAAAATTGTGCACGTACTCGTAGGTGGTTTAACTATTATAATTAATTGTGTAATATCGTAACGATTAAATTTCCATAATGTGCGATAAAAATATACTTAAGAGTATTAATAAAAGATTATCCATCTATACTAGTACCTATTACACATGCGAAACTGTACCCGACAGTTAGTGTTTGATTTTAATGTTTGGAAGGGAAGGAAAGGGAAGGGAGTATATGGGATCCCATTTATCTAAAAAAATAAGAAAATAAGCGGATAATAAAAGGTAACTAATTGCGAAAGTAAATTATTAAATTTAATAAAGATCTTCTATAATAAAAAAAAAAACCTAAAAGTTAACTGCTAAGACTCCATAATATCAATATTTCAAAATATATGACACACTATAAACCCAATGCTAATGAAATAAGTTAAGATTACACTAAAACCGATTTTATTTAACTGCTTATCGTATTTTCTCAAATATTTTAGTTTGATAAATTGACTTATTCACCATTTAAAAAAAAAAAACACTTTCGCTTACGTTGTTTATAATCTTCATTTGCATAGTTAAATAAAGACATAATAGTTTTATCAGCGATTAAAAGTAAAATTGCCTCTGTGAACTATGGTTGTGAGTTAATTTATATTTTACTTAATCTTTGAATTAACTACGCTTGGGTACGTCGTGTGTTGCATAATAAACGTTTATCTCTTTTAACTTTTCGTGTCCTATACGTATTTAAGAAACTGTAGTTATAGAGAAATATTGTTTATATCAGATTTGAAATTATGAACAATATTAATACATACATTAATATATTGCGTATGGTGTAGGGGTAACCTTAATACGAGTAGACTGGTGGACTGTAGGGTTTCAAACTACTGCATACACATATTAAATTTTTTTGGTCAAAAAAATTAAATATTCAAAGACAAAGAACATGAAAAAGTGTTGTAAAATTAAAGAAACTTCAAAATAATAAGAATATAAAAGGAGTTCGCGGCGCTTGGTTGACAATTTGTCATTCCTTTATTAATATTGTAGTTTTTATTCATTCATAATTTAAGAGTGATGCTCTTGTCGGTGGACCGGTGGTGGTCGGGGGAAAATAATATAATAATATAAATGAAATAATGTATTTTACTAAAAACGTTTTAAAAAATATATACTCATTTATATTGATTTCATGTACTATAAATGTATTATATAATTTTGTAAGCGCCTGATTGTGTAATTTACAAATATTAAGTAGGTATAATAAAAAAAACTGAAGAGAAAACAAAGATTTCTTTTACGAAGATACCACTGGGCAGGGTGATAATTTATAACAACCTACTACTATATAATTTTGTCTAAACTATATTACAGGGTAAATACCTATTTACGGAACAATTAAATTTTTTTAACTATTATATATATTGAAATAATATATACCAACTTTGATTCAAGCAACGCCTTATTCGTGATAATAATTGGTTTTACTTAATTATATGTTGACTGCATAAGGGCATGCAATTACCATTTAATATTTTAAATGGGAAATAATATACGTTATTCATTTTCATTTGGACGAAGCCGGAGGTGAAAACTTGTATAAAATATATTTTCATTGTCTTTTCAGGTGTTCGGGATAACGGGCGAAAGTGTGTCAAAATGCTAACAACTTTTGGGCCCTGGGCCCATAAACACGTGGAGAAGTAAGTTCAAAATACTATATATTGATAATATTTAATTTAAAAGTTTTAATAGATTACAATACTAAAACGAGGGATTGTTCTTGCAGCAACCATTTGCTACATTTGCGCCTAAATATTGGTAAGGATAAAATCAATTGTCGCTTTAATGTTTACCATTCTAATTTCCAGTTAAATTAAAAAAACACAGCATTGGGACTAGATATCAGATATATGTATATATCTTAACTTATCTTAACAATTTTAACTTATCCTGGTACCTGTATCCCTGCTATCTGTTTATGTTCATAGATCAATGGAAATTCCATTGATCTCTGAACATGTACAGATTACAGAATGTGTTATATAATTACAATGCTATAATTTTTGCCAAAAATTGCCTAAAGCCTACTTGACAATTGTTTTGTACAATCAATTTCAATAACTCCTTAACCTGTGATCATCAGACAGGTAGGTTCAGTATTTTATTTACACAATTATTCGTTCCGCTGCAGGAATCGAACCGGAACCACTTCTTGATATGTAAATTACTTCTCCGCTAACATATACATATAATTGACTGAGTAACATTGTTTTGTTTTAATTTAACGAATACTGTAGTAAACACTATTCTATATGTAGTTAGTCCATAATATTTGCATGACTCTAATTATGATATAGCTATAGGTATAATGCTGTTTTCTATATAGTCGGAGGTTGCCGCTTTACGTCAGTTAGGCCTAAAAAAATATCTTTCTACAAAGTCGTGTACGTGGCAGCAACCACCAAGCAGCGAAATTACAGGATGCGGAGACATAACATCTTGCAATTAGTCTTCCAGAATGGCAACTCGAGAGAAACCAAATGAACAGCATTTGGTATCTCTCATGTTGCCATTCCGGAAGAATTATGTGTGTAGGCAACGGTTTGGTACCACTTACCATGAGACTGATACCTTGTTTGCCATTCAAGTCGTATTAAAAGAATTTTATGCACATGAAATACTTATTTACATTACAAGAATATAGTTGCATAGATTTTTTTATATTGTGTAACGACCAGTGTTGGGATTACTACACCTTTATTAGCACAATGGAAATCATATAAGCCGGTACCTTAGTAATTGGTTTATTAGATTACTGAACATTACACAAACATCGATACGAATAATTCGATACAGTTGCGTGTTCTATACAAGTGATGATTACTTAATTATTAAACAGATTAGTTAATTTCATTAAAGTTACTACATCGATCCAAGTTCTCTAGTAAACCGTTAAAAGCTGGTTACATTATCATATGAACTACATATAGGTTAATATATGATGCAATCTATATTAACTTGTATGAATCTTGTGATGTAGGTACTTACAAAATCATTAAAATCATATGTAATTTAGAAATAAGGTGTCAATGTCAACCTATGTTTATTCTAAAACTTAGCGACATTTGTAGAACCGTCTCTTTGTTCAAGTTTTCCTTCGTGCAGGACGATGAGCATAAAAGCGCAGGACAAATGGGATATAATGGTTTCTAACTATGCCCGCACTCATAAGACTTTCGAGAAGTGGCACCTCTCATCAACAGGTCATGTTTACAGCGACCTAACTACTTTCACAGTCTATTGAGACTTTCAAACTGGCAAGGTGAAGTCAATCTCGTAATTGAAGATTCCATATCTATACGATTAGTTCCGTAGATCCTCGTTGTTTGAACAATTTCATAATATCCGACTAAAAGCGTTATCAAGCGCCAATCCATCGATTCCATATCGGGAATATGTAGATGAAACAGACTGGCATAATGATGTAGGCTATCAGTAACTCAGTATCGTATTATATTGTGGAAACGCTATAGTGTGCGTGTGGAGATCAAAATGTGCGCATCAATATTGCCACATACGCGATTTCCAGTGATAGAGATGGCGTGCGCGACTATATTTTGCCATTGAAAATATAGATTGATGAAAGAAAAGTATCAACATTAGTTAATATTACTTTTATATTACATGTTTAAAAAAAGATGGCGCTATTGGTACTCATTTAGAACGACGGATTCAATACATGAAACTTATGAAAATAGATTTTAAAATAAAAATTGAGTGGATTTTCCAAAGATTATAAATTTTGAGTTAATCCAATATTGTCTATGAGAAAAAGGAATATCTGTAATGATCATTTACTATATATATTGTTACTTACTAAACATTTGTTTGCCATTGTGGCCGACCGCACTATTGGGCTAATCGTGTAAGACTGTTCCACTTTTCATTTACTTTTCGAAGTGTAGTCTTAAATGTTATACATATATGTTTATAAGTTTGTGCACTTGATTCTATATGTCACTATTAATAAATGGTCATGGGTTTGCGCACACCTGCACGATATTAAATATTGGTAGTGGTAGGTTAGCAGTATTTGCAACCAGCAACAGTTTTTTACCGCCGAGAACCGTTGCGTGCATTATCATGTGTAAGGCACGTAACTGATAACCATTGCCTGTTTTTGATCATTTATGTGGATGATTTGTTACCTTTTAATAAAAGAAGCACAATTTCAACACCTAGTTATGTCATCTACTATTAGGCCGCTTTTTATTACTGGATGTAACAAATAATGTAGGAATTTGCCTGATGGACAATGGGCAATTATTGGTAGGGCCGTCCATACTATGTTCATATAGATTAACCTAGTGCAGGCGAACATACTTCTGATTATGTTATCAACTACTACCAGTATATCGTTTTGTATGAATCTATTATTTGATCGTCTAGAATGTATGGATTCCACTACAATTGTATGCCACACCCTTTTTTAAGTAACATATTATGGCAAAAAGTTAATTATTAATAATGAAAATTAATGTGCGTTATTCCTATTATCATAATTACTAATAATATATTGTACAAGTATTTACGTAGAGTAATAAAAAAAATGTGAGTATACAAAATATTTTTCATGCGGCGATTTCACTTGAATAAAATTATTCCGCTAGCTGCAACACACATCAACTACCTACCCGACTACTCAAAGTTTTATGATTCTTTTTGCTTTATAAGATCGGTTGAGGAAAAAAATATTTTGCACTTCGTTATTGTAGCAAATTTTATTTACAAAAATAATTCGTACTATTTATATAATTTGAAATTAGTTTTGAGTTTTGAGTGTAACTTCGTAAATTATGTCTAATATACATTAAGGTTATATTCCGCTCAACTGAATTACTTTGTGATGAAATTACTATGAGATTTAAAAGGGCAATTATTGCATAATTGACGAAATTTCTTAGATGTCGATGACAGTCTATAATTACCTGTGGAAGATAATAGGATAAGGTTACGTCAGGCGTCAGGCGGCGTTGCTAGGAATGAAAAACAGTGATTTCCAAATTTATACTTCTAAATCAATGAATAATATTTTATGTAATATTTGTAGATGGTGACATGCGATAACGACAGCACGGCGTGTGGTGGGTTCCACCTGGGCGATCGCGACGATGAGCCGCGTCGCTCCCGCGCGCCTAGCGTCTCCTCACTCTCTCTCTACAAACAGAAGATCGACGCGCTTTTCGACGACAGCCGGTCGGTTGTCAGTCTGCCGCATTACGGGCCTCCTTTAAATGCGCACGAGTTAGGGAGGAGAGATAGTAAGGTAATGAGCATCTTACCTTATATTTTAAAGTTACTATTAGGAATCGCATACTAGCAAGCAACAGACCGGATGGAAAATTGTAACTGGTACTTATTAAGCTTATCCTAAAAATTATTGTGAAGCTCTTCTAGATTGTACGTAACACTGCTACTTAAAAAAATGTGATAAAGGGACTTTATGTCTGGATTTTGCTCATTTCATGGTTAACTTTATATAGAACTCGTACTGGTAACGCCTAAACGGTAAAGAATATCCGTACATAGTCTAACCATTTATCAAAAAACTCTATACACAGTCGCGGGTAACTAAATTTAAATATATGTATGACTAAAGAAATTATGTAAATATTAGAGATTATCGGATACTACGACTACTTTCATCTACTAAGATAGCCCTAACTAATTACGTTGATAATTAACTAATTAGTAAATATTTTATTAAAGGAAAGTATTTTGTGTGTATTACAGATCAGTTCAACACATGAAAGCAAAGCGACGATATATGAAGATGATGACGATTACTGTCAGAATAAAATTAACAAGATCAATAACACAGTGCAAGATCGTATAGAGAGGATGTTTGCAGAAATGACGGGGGAGTCCAGGCAGTCCTCGGAAAATATTGGGGTCCATGTGTTCAGTGTTCATTATCTTGGTTCGACCCCTCTACAAAGTAAAGTCACAAGTTTGTCGGGACTCCAAACCCCACTAAAAGATTTGTACTTTGCGTATAGAAGAAACTTCCGACATAAAAGTACTTTAACAGGCCGATTGGAAATATCTAAAAGCGGTTTAAAAGTACGATACAAAGGAGAAAAGGGCGATTTAGAACAATTGAATCCTTTTCCAACAATAGCTGTTTGGTCCGCAGTAAAATTTGTTGTTCAACCTTTAGAAACAGATAGTCGCGAACTGAGTTACGCATTCTTACCTCTAATAACAGATCCTGATAATATTGACAGACCTGCCCTATTTAAAACATTAGATTTACCTGACAAAAAGTACATCCTCTCCCACAACGAAAATTCGCATTCACCACTTTTCGCTGTTGTGATGAGGAAAATCGGCGTCGCTAAGCAACTGGAGTGTCATGGGTTTGTATGTCAAACGACGGAAGACGCTATTGTAATAGCGGCTACCCTATACAAGTCTCTGATGTCACACATGAGTCGACAGGGTCACAATGATAAAAAGAAATTAAAGAATCGAAATGGAGTAAGTTGTATGAGTGTAGCGAGTAGTCTACCTCCGGACGACATTCCTCCTTGCAGGCCACCACGCAAAAAACGAAGTACGTCGTCACTAAGTGGAGATAGCGACAGAGCAGATGGATTCTCTGCTAGTGAATCTTTTAACGAGAAACCGAAACTAGAAAGGGTTAAAAAACTATCAATAGATATTTTGCCACATCTTCCACCACCTCCGACTGTCCCTTTTATAGAATCGAAAAGAATTACTGTGGAAGAAGTAAAAGCTAAATTAGATTCCATAAAACATAACGATACAAGTGGCAGTGACACTCAAGGGTCCAAAAAGTCTGTAGAAAGACGTAATGTAAATCCCAGTATTACTAAAATTCAAAATCTGCATAAATCTCAAAGTAGTAATGAATCTTCAGTCCGAAGTAAAATTTCCGAAAAAATTGAACTTTTTAGGGAATTAGAAAGACGGAAAAATATTCAGAGACCACCAACTGTACCTCCACCTGTGCCTTCTAAGCCTCCAGTAGAATCTCCACCGGAACTACCTAAAGAGCCGCTAAGAAGAAGCCAGAGTGGAAGAAAATCACTCAACGATTCTGGAGATATATTAACCAAAGTAGCTATACCACGATCTGGTAGCTTTTTGAATGCTGGAGGTCTAACCAGGTACAAGTCAATTGGACATAGGTATGTGTCACTGTCAGTTTTTAATTACAATGCATTACATACTATTATGTAGCATGTTCCTAGTAATTTCACTGAAACGCATGAACGATATTATTTCCTTTCTAATCATAGTCCGGACACTGACATCTCTCTTTTAATTTGCTTTGATTATTCCCTTGATTAATTTACTCCGTCAAACTACATATCTCACTAACGAGAAGCGAATGAAATGCGGGTTTAGTGGAGTGTTTCACCAACTTGCATGTCAGTAATTGTGCTAATGCAACCGCATCCGTTATACATTCCTCTGATCCAGTATAATACTCTAGTCGTTTTTAACCAGTTATATGGCATTAGATTGAGGCATTAAATATGTATTGAATTTTTTTTCAGGAATAATGGGAAAAAGGGAGGTGGGTCTCCGTTAGGGTTCAACGAGCTTTTCAGTGAATTTAAAGTTCAGGAGAACTTACATTCTATGGACGAAATCCTTAATGCCATAATAGATGCAGAAGGAATGTCCTTCAACGATTTAAAACCAATTTATAAAGAATTTCTTTTAAAATTAGCAGTGACACTAACAAAAGATGAAATATTTCAGCATAGTAAAGCTATAATGAAGAAGCAGAAGAAAAAGATTTTACGAAGAAATAGTCTATTTCAAAATAAAAGAAGAAAGATGTTGAAAGGAGCTAGTGGTCTACGAATGGTATTTCGCATGCCATTTGGGAAAGACATGAGAAGAAAAGAGAAGCAGCAGTCACCACTAGACTCATTAGGTTATGAAATTGCTAAGCCTAAAGAACCTATCTCGGAAAGTTCAGTGTCTACATCCAGTTATGACTTGAGGCAGTTTCGGCCGAAGGAATCAGTTTTACCGTCAGCGAAGAGACAAGCAATGAGACAACGTACCTCTAAGCGAACTGATAAAATGGTTCATGTATCAAAACGAAATGGAAAGGTTTCGAGGCCTGGAGAAAGGACATCCACATCTGAAGATTCTGATTTCTTAACATTAAGTAATCGTCTAGGATGCCAAAATCGTAACAGTTCAAGCGGATATGTCTCATGTTCCGAATGTGAATCGGAAAGTTGTGTAGATCGCTGTTACTGTTCATTAAAGGGTGATTGTCAAGAGAAATGCTATTGCTCAGCCGCAGATGAAAAAAGAGAAGCGTCAAAATCTAAAATATTAAGTAAAAGTAAAAGCTGTAAAGATTGTTTAAGGTGAGTATCTTAGAATTGTTGTGTATTTATTTTTTGTATTGTATTGTAATTTAATTCCAAAAGTAATTTAAATCTGCCGATTTCTTTTATTGCTATCTTAAGTATTTTAAAAACACAAACTGACTTTTAATTACATTTATTTATGTATTGATATTTATTTTTGAAGGCGTTTATAAATAACTTTAAATTTCTGTTTATTAAGTTACCAAAATTTCTATACTTTCGTTTGTTCTTCTTTTATATTTCATGTAGCTCTATTAGATGCGCATCTTTGTGGAATGACTGTTGCTTTAATTACATTACATGTATAGAATTGTCGCTATTATCGTTAAAGGAATTCGTGCCTTGTTTGTTGTTATTTATGGTTCATTATAAAAAAAATGTATTGGCTGTAGAAATGAAATGTGCGCGGTATCAATCAGAGCATGACGCGTCCGCAGCTTGCGACGCCTTATGAGTAACTGAACCAAATTATAATTATTTACAGTTGACTATGAATTTTTAAGGACATCCTCTGGTTCAAATTTTGTCTAACATAAAGAGTAAAAAATGATAACCCCAGTAATTTATCTAAAGAGGAATCGCTAAACATTTTTATCTGAGAGACTTTATAAAAAGTCGTCTACGTGAATACATCAGGCAAATCTATTTCAGCAATAGTTTATATAAAGCTTACTTTGTAAACTATGTTTCCGTTAAAGATAAGGCAATGTAATTACAGGATTTGGAGGCATCATCTTAGTCCTCCAGAATGACAATCTATGAGTGATATCACGTCACATAATATCGTGACATTCGTGGTGCTGTTCATGTAAACAGACAACGGCTACCGCTTGCTATCATGTGGATCGTCAGCGTTTGCCAGTCTTATTACATAAAAAATACAGAATGTGCCTACCTGAAAAATACAGAAACTACGACTTCGGTTTTATTTTGTATTTTATTTATTTATAATGTTTTATTGCACCAACTTTAAAAGTAAATACATTGAAAAATAGAACAATAGATTGAAGAATGAAGCAGGGAAGAAAGTGGTCTTATTGATATATATTGTTTTCTTTTGTATGCTAATTTTCTTTTTATTTATTGTATAATAAAACTTGTATATATAGGATCAGCATTAGCCATTTAGTATTCCTTACCAACTAACCATTAGGTATAAATACACGTTGTAGGACAGTCATGGTCCATTTATATTTTCTCTTCGTTATGAAAATTAACTTTTTTGACAAGATTTTGTTTTCTGTTTAATAATATCTCTTAATTTGTAGGGAAGTGTACGACGCAGATTACAGCTACTGCTCTTGCGATTCTGAAAGTTGTGCTGATAGTAACAAGTGCTACTGCGTAGGTCCGAGACGCACTATAATGCAAAGTTCACAAAGTCTAGAATACCTGCGCAGTCCATCGCAAAGAACCTACTCTGATAGACTGAAACGTGCATTCAATGAGTACGATGGCACCAACGGAAGCCGGAATCGGTAATTATTATTATAATGTTTATATTTTTATATTTAATATTATTAATTGACGTTGTTGTAATATGAACAAGAAAACATTTAATTTTTATGGCAACTAAGAGAGTAATGTTACTAATTTCATTCTGAAATTATTCAACCCGCAACCCTAATTCGCTTCAGCTTGCTATTAAAATAAAAAAAAAACATCAACATAAATAATTTGAATAGTGTGAAAGATGATATGTATAAAAGGAGAGTATGCTCAGATATGATGGCCGACAGGAATCAGTAGAAGAAGATGACATACTGTCATCTTCTTCTACTAATTCCTGTTGTTAGTTGTTGTAGTTTTTCTCTCTCTCACTTGTTGTAGTTCTGTCGGATCTGTGTCGATTCCATATAATGGGATAAAGGCAAGGCAATTATGATAAATATAGAAACATTTGTTTCCGTATCTTTTTCAGATCTAGTGGTGGTATGTCACGTGCGAGGCGCGACAGTCGTGACGGCAAAGAAGAACGCACCCGACGCGCGCGCAGCTCGGACAGCTTGGCTCTCGACTACGAGTTACTGCTGCAGAACAAAGCACGCGACACGCGCACTCGAAATATGCAACGGCTCACTGGTAGGTCGCTCCAAAGTTTTAAATGTCCTTACATAACCATCATATATTTATGAGATGAACTTCTTAGCATTCCGCGGATTCACCATGCGGCTCTATCGTGTGGCAGGGACGAAAACTATAAGTTTACGATTTTCCGGGTTTTTTGATCCGGGTAGGTATAAGGGGTCCCTTTGTCAACGTATGTCAATTCCCCTCATATTTCTCTTCCTCCCCAGCAAGTCTGTTAGGAGCCTGCTAGTGCTGCTACACGTTCTTGTATAGAATTTACTGCAGTTCAAGACAGGCCAAGATCTTTTAGAAGTCACTATCTAAGCACTATGTTGTGTAAGTACAATGTCAGTCAAGTTGACGATCCACCTGTAAATAGCAACTGTTGCCTTTATAGGTACATGAATAGACCATTGACGCATATACACGAGACATATCCTTAGGCGTTGCTTTTTCATGCATCCATATTCTGTAATTACACTGACTTTTTCTCATTCTTCAACTGAAACATAACTTAGAAGGCAAGCCATTTTACAACTATAACTGATGAGATGGAGGATTGTGGAAACCCAAGCAGATTGTATGATATCTATCTTTGATTTTATTTAAAATAATAGGAATACTAAAACCAGTCTACTGAGTATTAGATTAAAAGAGAAAACTATTTCCTTTCCAGACGATAAAGATGTCATGTGTCTTATTCCGCAATTCCAGTTTAATTTTTAATTACCCTCTACAAATTCTCTGTCGCTCCCCAGTGAGGAGTACAGGCGCCGGCTCTCACGACGCACTAAGCGTAAAGAAGTCTGCAGAAATGGCAGCACTGTTCGCGGACGTTCGCCTCTCGCAGCGCACGGACGTCCGCTCGTTGGTGGCTGCTAGTTGTGGGGGGGCGGGCGGTGGCCGGAGGTCCCGAGCGCTCCCCCTGCCCCCCTCCCCGCCGCTCCCCACCCGGCCGCCCCCCCTGGCCAGGATGTTCGACCACCGTCCGCTCAGCAGAAACGCCAGTCTCGAGGATACCTTAGGTTATCTACCATAGCCTAACAGTGAACACAATCACATTCAATATTTTTTTAAACTTTAAAGCACACAAAGATGTTGTAACTGGAGCGGGAATACTACAATTATTTAATAAAAAAATACACATACATATAATATGTATATTTATGTGTATTATTATACAAGAGGGCTCACAAATAAGTCAAAAGTGAGGTAAAAATTATAAAAATAGTAAGAAGTATATAATAGTAATATAAGAAGCTGCCAGCAACATATATATTTCATTTGTGCAGGCCAATATTCTGTATGTGGTCTAGTAGTAACAATTCTTATCGCCTAGAATTTTTTCTGAATGGGTACATACAGTTACATATACCTTATTATATAGTTACATTTTCCATTATATTACAGAATTGTCTATACAAACAATTTTATTACTTATGTTGTTAACCAGTGTAACACGGATCATTTTATGGTAAATAATGTTTTATTTTATGGTAAATCTTTGTGTGCTTTTTGTTCGTTGATATTGGATTTAAAAGGATTACAAGAACGAAGAAAAGGAGTGGAAAACACTAATTTTTCTACAAGTCCTTAGAAATCCATACCGGCATATTCAAAATGTTGCAGAATGGTATTCTCCACAGACAGAAAGTCGTCCATTCGCAGGCTTTTATATAAAGGTAGCTATTTTAGTGATGTTTAATTATTTATACATTTTTATCTAAATAATCATGTATATTTGAATCTGCAATCTCATAATTTTATTTCCTTTATTTTATTGTCCGTACAGAATAATATTAAAATTTATATTTTTTCCTACAGTATTTGGAATGACGACAATAGTCTTAATAACAAATTAAGCAGATTCATCAAATTAGATTTCTTTAAAAGAAGATGAATCTTTTAACAAAACTATTTCATTAGTTTATATTTAGAACTTCACTTTGTAATATTTATCATACCAAAATTAAACAACATGACTAACAACCTACTTCTTAACAAGGAGATTGATCAATAAACAATATATCTACCATTCGTATAACTTCACATACATTATATTAATTTCATAGTATGTGTCGTTGTAGACGTATACCACCTTATTCATATAATAAGGATTATAAGTATATCGATTGTTAGTAAATATAAATATGTATGTAGTTATTTATTGACGAAAATAACGTTTATTACATATAATGTGCAATATATTGAGTCACATAGTTACTTCTAGTTTATTTTTCATTGTTTTTTTTTGTACTTGGTGCGCATTTAGTACTATGAAACGGTGTTTTGTTTAAGATATGTAATATTGTTTTATAAATTACATCAATTTTCTAAATTATTAGTGGAATTTGGTGTTTATTATAAGTGTGTAAAGTACTTTTATATTTGTAATTAATTACAGCATTACCAAAAGTATTTTATTAATTTCAATGTAAATATAATAAGCATGAATATTCATCTTAATATACCATTGGATTAGTCAATGCACTGCACTGGCTGCGTAATTTGGTTATAAAAAATCTATGTAAAGTAATACTATTGAATTTTTGTTTTATTATATTCGTTAGCTAGTTGCTTATTGTTACCTTAATGTCCAGACATATGAATCACATATGTACATGCGCCTGACAAAATGAAACAGCAATGACTCATTGATGCGTTTTTAAAGTAGGTAAAGCGCCAATATCACCAGTTTTTTTATGTGATATGTATTTATTTGTAACTAGTTATATATTACCCGCCACTATGTCTGCTTTATTTTAATACAAAGCACAGTACATATATGCTAGTCCTTTCGGATATCTAAACTTCTTTCATGATGATCTGTTTTCTGAAAGAAAAAATAACAGACAGACAAACACATATACTTTCGCATTTATAATATTAGTATGGATTATTAATTTTATAGTAATGTGTTTTTATGAGTACCTATGTCAATTTAATGTTCAACAACAAAAAGAATTCACTGTTATTATAAGAAGTAAGTAAGTAAACCGCACAAATAGAAAAACAAGTTCCTAATTGCAAATAATTAATTGGAATAGCCAAAATAACAATGAGTATTAATTTTTAATAATGATTAATACAAATATTTTCAAGAAATATCAAACAAATGGTATTAAGTAGGTCAATACTATTGATCAACATAAATACCTAATTCTTATCTATACATATATACTTTCATACGTTAAAGTGAAATTGGTGCTTTGTTAAAAACATCGTTTCATAGTTACGTCTATTGTCTTAGTTTAACATTTAGTAATAAGCCTAGATGTATTTCGTTGATCTTACACTGAACTGTGCAATTTATTGGTGCAATATTTTATAGTTGTAAGTGCTGGCTTATAGCCGAGTGCAATATCATACCTACTGTAAATATAGGTGCGTAGATACACAGATACATTAATTGGAAAAATAAATCTTTTTCTTAAAAAATTACTGTTGTATCATTTCATTGTTAATTACATAGGTGCGTATATCAAGAGTAATGTTGTACATGTCAATGGAACGGTTAATTTTTTTATATATTATATATTACTATAACGGCAATAGAGCATACGGCCCATCTGATGGTAAATTGTTACCGAAGTCTATAGATGTTTGAAAAACTAGTGATGTCACCAGCGCGTTGCTGTTTAAGAAACCTTAATATCCTTGAAAAACTCCATGCTGCATTTTTTAGAGAAAACTTCGGCAAGTAGTTCATTCCACAATTTAATTACTTCCAGGTATCAAGCATTACGTATTACTAGTGTAATGTTATGTATCTATGAATCCAGTTAAGTTTCTTGCCAATTCTTCTCAATTGAATCTATTAAACTGGACAGGGAATAAAGATTGATTGCTTGATACTAAAAAAATTACGTTCACATGTGGGTAATTTTACCCACATGTGAACGTAATTCATATGTATTTGACATTTGTCAAATACATATAAATCATTTTTGATTGGATTTCATAGGCCCTGCGCAGGCAGTAGTGTCATAAAAAATGGTTTAGAATTTTTACCTTATACACTGCAATTATTAGGGACATTTTTGAACCAGGATGATATGGAGAAACCATAAGTTAATTACACAATTTATTAATGTTTTATGTCGTAGTAAAAATAATTATGTACACTTAAGACTATGTAGGACACACAGTCAGGTATGTTAAGACGCAGTATTGCTACATATTTATACCTAATCAGACTAGTTTAAATTCCGTTAGTTTCTTAGTAAAAACTTGCCACCGATGCCATGTTTGGAATTAGAAATGATGTAATGTTACCAGATTCCTGTTTCTTTACCTACACGTAAACATATCCACTCTTATTTAAATCCATAAGGTATGCTAGTTGATCTGTAACAAATTAAATCTTCTCTCTATAATAGGGTTTATGCTTGTGTTAATTTGCAATGTATGAATTTCTTGCAGTTATATAAATATATATAGGATGAAATTGTTACAATTTTGAGTCTAATATAAATTCCAGTAGTACAACATTATAAAAACTTTTATTTTTGATAAATCTTTTCGAGACAAATATGTAGAATAGAACCTACAGTTCAATTCTTTAGAACAACATAATCGAAATCATTTGTTACGTACCTAATGTACTCTATATTCCTGACTCTCATTAGTTTAATATTAAACCTTTTTTTTATTTCTAATAAATTATAAATAAAAAGCGAGTTTCATATGTAATAATTTTATTTCTATATTACAAACATAGACAGTACATCAATGAATTTTGATTTGATGTCACTGGTGCTAGGTACATAATTTAAGTATATCTTTATAATGTAATAATAGATTTAAAAAATAGGTACAACAAATATATTAAAATTATTTATTTCATAATCTCGTTGTATTTTTCTTCATATAACATGATAATAAAGGGAAATCAACAGGTCAACGCGTTTATATAAAATGACGATGATGATTTCAAAATCTTATTACAAGTTCAAATATATGAACTAATAATATAATTTATGGTGACATATATTCATTAGAAGATGGACTAGCAGTTCCTTTACATATATTTACATGTAAAAAAACGACAATATTGTTCAATTATAATTTGCAAACATGGATTTAGTTTTACATCTATTGTCATTTTACTGATATATTTTAATTAAATATAATGAAATACCAACAAAGTTAATTATTTGGTGCAACAATCTTAGTTGACAGTTCAAAATTTATAATAGTTTATGAAATAAAAAATAAATTGAATATAATAAAATCATCTACAATGTTACGAACATTACTTATATTTGGAATAATATAATTTCACGAAATAATTTGTATGTCATTAATATCTGTTATTATTATTGTCAACCGTATTGCGAAATATCTATATTAAGATAACAATAATGTAATGAAATAATCATATTATATTAATTAATATTTGTTAAACGTATACTCTATTTGGGATATAATTTATATTTACAATAATATTTTTTGATACCTATTAACTGCTCAATTGAGTATTTATAGCATAAATACATTTATTTACTATTGGATAGGCACTTATAAGGATTTAAATGACTATAATATTTAATACTGAATACACTTAGTGTATTCTGATGTCTCGTCAGATCTATTACATGTAGTTAATATAAACTCTGTCATTAGGTACGGTTTCAAATAATTAACTTCTATTATCCATATAAATTAGTTCAGCAATTTTTTGTAGTCATTTAGATAATGATTAACTGTTTATTTATAAATTCTGAGAATTATTATAACCCATATTGATCGAACGAAAAAAAAAATGGAAGAACATAAATATTATGAAATATATATTTCTTAAAAATCAAATTCACGAATGTTACGGCTGAACTATTTATACTAAGTCATAATCGACTACTTTTTATTAGTCATGTAGGAATTACGAACTAATTTAATATATTTTTCCAGAATATACAGATACGCTGGTAAAACACTATTATGGCATTTCATTCAATATGGTCTGACTGTGCCGAGACGGCCCCTGGGTATGGGTTCCGCGTAACTGTGCCGGAATTTAGCGGGCTGCCTCTCAGCCAGTTCACGGAAGTCCCGATAGTCTCTGTCGTAGTATCTGTCTCTGTCCCCTTCCGCGTATGACTGACGTTGGTCATCAAGTAGTCGTGAACGGCTGAACGCTCTCTGTCTATCGTTCCAGTCTCTTCTCCTGTCATCTAAAACAGGGTCAATTATTTCATCTTCATCTATACGTCGATCTAATTCCCTTCTCTCTCTGTATCTGTCGAAATCATCCCTATGAGGTTTAGGTTCAATTCTATTTAAATAATCCTCTGTCCCATATTCATATCGTTTCAAATCGTCGCGCTTCCTTCCAACTCGTGGAAGTCTTTCCATTTCCCTATGACCCAAATCTCTTGTATCTAGGTCACGAATCCTTTCGGTATCTTTGCGTCTTTCTGGCTCCCTATGAGAACGCTCTAAATCTCGATGAGAACGTTCAGGTTCTCTCCGGGAACTCAGGTCTCTGTGACGCTCCTGTCGCTCGTCCCTTCTTTCTTCCTCGGGGGAAGAAGTCGAACGACTGTTCCTTTCTAGAATACTCCTTCTAATAGCCATATGTTGTTCGAGTTCTCTGTTGAATCTTTCCCTTTCTAGATTCATAAATTTCTCTTTTGCTACGTTGAATCGATCTTTGGGTGAGGCTTCAGCTAATTTCAAGCTTCCTTCACTAGCTCCTCTTTGAAGTTTGCCAAATCGACGGTCCTCAATTCTGTCTATGCTCCGGTTAGATGGTTTTGTATCTGCAATATATCTCCTCCTATAATTTGGTGTATCATCATTGAATTTATCTGTTTTATCTTTGTTGACACGTTCAAGGGATTCATGGCGGAATCTGCGATCGAATGCGGTTTGTTCGCGGAAGGGGGCTACTTGGTCATGATATTGTTCATTATAATCATCGTTATAAGCAGGTGCCCTTTCATAGCTATGGGGAGATAGTGCCCGGCGTCCGGGCGATGTGCGTCGAGGCGAGACAGCACGGCGAGGTGGCGATGCTTCAAATGCTTCGTGCATCATGTAGGCAGTGCTCTCAGCCCAGTCTTCCTCTGTAATCAATGAAATTTAACATAAATCATAATGCATGTATTCGAACTACATATATTGATTAGTCGTATTGAGGTTAGTACTTATATGGATAATCTAACCATTTTGTGCTCCGGTAGCACACTTTGGCATCGTAATTTTATGCATGGCACTTCGCAAACATTGCCTTTCGACTTGACCTATTGTCATTAAAACAGCTTTACACTTTTCACGACTAACGGGATTTGAACTCATCTCTGAAATGCCTTTTGCTAAACTTGTTTCTAAACACAAATTGACATAGAAAAGAACCTGCCGCGCTCCCACGTGTTGCCACTTAGTCTTATCTGTCGCCATCTTGGCTAAAAGCGCGCGCTTTTAATTGTATGGAATTTAGGTAAGGCGGTGATACATGAAGTTTCGTTTTATTGTTGTGCCGTGTTGATCTAGTTCCCTTTGAACACTACAGTGACGATAACAATAAAAATAATTTCGCTGCGGCTTTTCTCTACTCACTTTGTATGCCTACTATCTACTACTACTTTTTACAGAATGTATTCAGCTGATGGTATGGAGCGATGCATATTTTATTAAAGAGAGAAAGATCACACTGCTTATATATTAACATTTTACATTTCTAGGTAGGTAATATTAACATAAAAGCAGTGTGATCATATTATCTGCTTAAAAAAATCTAATTGCAAAACTATTGCATTTAGGTATAGGTATTTGTCGAAAAAAATATCGATAGAGAGGTAATTATTTATAATGTAATTCATTTACATTTTATTGTAATTTGGGTTTGTTATTACTTTGATTAGATCCCCTTAAGAAGATTTTTCCATGTGCCCCTTTTAAAAAAATTCAATTGAAATAATGCTATAGAAAAAATAAATAAGCAGAATGTGATAAAAAAGAGAGTAAACAAGTTGCCGAAGTGGTAATATCGTTACACAATAGATCGTTAGAATTGTAATGCATTCAATGTACTATACCATTGACTTGATACTCATGGCATGAAGGTGAATTTATGTTCTTGAACTGTTTGAGAGCAAAGGCAAAATACATTTGCGTAGAAGTGTAAGTAACAAAGGATTTTTAACACTATGCATCACGTATTTATAACCTTAGAGTTTTTATCGTAGTGATAATATTATTTTACTTTAGTTATTTCGATTATTTTATGGCCGAATATATAAGACGGACACTTTGTACAAAGTAGTGGATACCTTTGTCTCATCTAATCCTGCCGCCAGTAACATTAAAGCTATGCTTTTAAGTATTCTGTTAATATTTGATCTCCTAACTTAGATTCGTTCACAAATAGTCGTAGCAATGCATGTACACATACTTGCTTGTATACATTTATGTACTTGTGTACTTCTTACTTGTTTTTTTAGATGCGACTGTTGCCATTAAGTTACTAAGAGCTGAAAAACCAAACAAATTGTCTCTCATATACTTTAATATGTTACAGAACTTTATTTATTTTCCTTTTTATCATCATATAAGATTATTTTTCACATGGGATAATGTTATAAAATTTTAATTTTTTGTTACATATACAAAATAAATGTTGCAATGCGATCTGTAACGCGGTAAGGTACGTGAGCTAACACGTGTATAAAATTAGGTAATAACTTCTAAATTGATCGTATTAGTGGTTGTATAGATATTATATTAAGATAACCGATGTCATTCAATATCTTTTTATAATATCAGCAACGGAGAGTTCGTATCGTATTTTCTAATATGTACTGTACAATAATAACAGCCTTACTTCCTTACAAGCTTTTTAACATACAAAACACTGTTTCATTCATCTTCATCTATGTAGCTTAATTACTACTTATACTATGTTTCTCACCAAGTGTTTTTTATCGTCACGCTTTGAAGCCATTGCCGGGTTATCTACGAAATAGATAATATTCTAAATACTAGTTTATATTATACATATTTGTTTCGCCATTTCTAAATTTGAAACTTTTTTGTTCGTATTAAACAATGTATAAAAGATAAAAGTCTTAAGTGATGTAAGTAAATCAAATAAATTATGTTCAGTCTCATTGTTTGTAACAAAACTTTTTTTTATTCAGATTGTTATGACATTTTGTATGTTTATTCGGTATATCTGAGAATAAGACGTAAACCCTATAAGTGATAAGGGTGGTCTATCCCATGTTACATGGATTGTGTATTTAAATTTTTATTTATTGTATGATTAGGCATAAAAAATACAGATAGTATACATATAATAAATAAAATACATATATTATTATATACATTATATACATATACTCTTAATTTTCACGCTTCTACACTCAACTGCTATTTATGTATAATAGCAATGTTAAAGTACTAACATTAATAATTATAAAGTTTGCTGGGTCAGCCTTGTTAAATCTGCCATGATATATATATATATATATATTTATATATCATTAAAATTCATGTATAACAAGGAAACCCGTGAGTTCTTTGAATACATATCGCAACAGATTCTTGGCAAATCGTTACTTGAACAAAAAGTATTGTAGTCTTTCTTCATAGCTGATTTATACAATAATAGATTTCGAATTTAGAAATAAGGTTTTATTCATTGTTGATTGTATGTCCTCTAATGATGATTTGATATCGTTTTCTGTTATTCAATCAACAGTTTCTAGCTTATGGTCGATTTTCCAAAATTCATAATTTTTTATTAAATTCTGTTCACCATTAACTTGAGACATATAGTCCTAAAGTAATACTTATAGATGCATATATAGTGAACATTATGACATGACTTAAGTCCATCATATTCGAACGATGGCCTTTAGATTTTTGTTACAATTTATGCGAGATTGAATGCATACAAAATTTTAAGACATTCATATACTCCGATGTTAAAATCCAAACCACTTGTATTGTTGTACTGTCTCTATAAATATTTTTATTACTATTTTAATCGTATAAATTTAAATTTATACTCCATACCCTTCATGATGTTAAGGCAAAACACGAGATTCCATTTTGTATTTATATTTCACAGTGTTTTTTATATTTCAGGTTCGTCACAATATAAAGTTATTTAAATTGATATATCTTAATAATGATATTGTGATAATAAAATATAATTTGTATGGATGGATTATTAATGAATTAAAAGAAGTGGCACAAATAAGAATCGATACACGGAAGCAAGATTATAGATTAAGAAAATATTATATGAAACAAAAGTAACGTAACTTCAGTGACGAAACGGTTACTTATTTAGGTTGTATTTTTAAATTAAGTTCTGACAAATTAGTAACATAAAATACAGTATTTGATGTTATTGCATGTTCGTTTTTATGTGTTTCACTTTCGGGTGTCTCTTATCTTCCATTTAAATATGGAAATTTAAAATTTCAAGTCGTCGACTCAAAGCTGCCAGAGTCGTTAGCGGTCTTCAATTATAAGAAACATGTTTTGTACCACTTACCACATCGACGTCGTGAGTGTCTAATCAATTTAGTATGTTCAGGGCAACACTATATTCATATGTAGGTACTTGGAATATTTCATTTGAGACACCTTCAAATAAAATTTTATATATTTTTAAGTCGAATCGAAAGCCGATAAGTCTTACTGAACGAGTAATTTATTTAATATCTGTCTGATTAATTTTTAATATTTATCGCATCTTATAAACTTTTGTTATGTAATTGAACATGCCTTGAACAAAAATTGGAAAGTTCTCGCCTCTTCACTATTTATTCGTAAATTAATTCGATTGAAATAAGAAAGTTTAAATATGCGCTATTTCCGCTATTTAGTAAGCACCACATGCAACATTGTGATATATTGAATGGTCTTTGCTTTGCAAAGTAATATTCTTGCATAGTGTAGTTACTGCGTTTACTTTCGTTTTACCATCGGCAGGTCGACTTTTGAAGCCAATGCATCGGGATTACATTGATATCATAAATAATATATGACCAGGGTATATTGATATACCTACTAGATTTAACTCGAGACACTTCACGTAAAAATGTATGTACCTACGCGTATGTATTTTAAGGTATGGCTTTCAACGAGATTTTTGATGTTATATTTATTTATGATTATTATTGTATCATTATCATTGCATAGTATAAAACAAAGTCGCTGTCGGTGTCTGTCCCTGTGTATGCTTAAATCTTTAAAACTACGCAACGGATTTTGTAATACATAAAGTGATTCTAGAGGAAGGTTTGTATATATATAAATAATATATTATAAAATAATGTTTATATATGTATATATATAATACATTTATACCCGTGCGAAGCTGAGGCGAGTAGCTAGTTTTAAATAATATTTGAATATGAATCGACAATTCCTTTGATTTCATTTGTTAGCTACACCCTTTTTTACGCTACGAAGTTTACTTACTATGTATAATTTAATTTGTTTACTAATTAATTTCTTTCATAGTAAAAGTGGTCACATAACGTATTGAATAGTTTAAATAAAATAAAAGTTATATAAATTAATCATTACGAACTAAGACACATAAATTGGCATGTATATTTTTTATATAAAATTACGATATTATTATTAAGCTGAACTATGATGTAAACATGAAGCAAAGGATCACGAACAGTGACGCCATCTTTTGTACAAGCCGGATTTCTACTATTTTTGTCAAAGCTGCTTCATTACGAAATGTCTTAATTAACCACTAGGTAAAAATAAAAATTAGGTACAAGTCTATTATTTTTGTATCTATTTTTTCAACTATTAATTATATATTTATGGTTGTTTACATTAAATGTGAGTTTTATTATACGACAGTAATTTTTATCTCAGAAGTTGAGTAGAGACCAAACAAAATGTAATAACAATAAATATACTAAATATAGTCTAAACCGACTTCAAAAGAAAAGTATATTGAAAGAGACTGTATTTAACTGACTAATGAGTTTATTATATAATTATAATATATAATTGACAGGTTTTGTTAGTTTTTTAACGTCCCTTTCTGATGTTTCCTACCGACTACTAAACTAATTTCGATGTAATATAAGTCGGGTATTATTTTGTGGTTGAATATCCTATGTCATCATTAATGCACAAGAATATAGTTATGAGCACCTATTTATTTGTGGAATACAATCTGAACATACATTCTTATTATTCTAATGAACATAGCGAGAAATCAATTGTAACAAAATACCTATAATTTAAATAACAAGCAATAATGATGGCATCAACATAATGTTCTTCTACAGGAAATCGTGGAATCTTTTTTGTGCAGTCACGAGTTTATAAGGTTTTAGTTATTCTGGGATAATGATTTTGATGAATTAATGAGTCATAAACAACTGCGACGTCAAACAAACAAAATTTGGCAACTGGGTTTGCATTCGATGCCTGTTCTTTATGTACATATATATTGCCAGCGCTACAATATATTAATTTAGAGTAACAATTTGTTTGATTTTTTTTAACTGATATGTTATAATTTCGTTTAATAAATTCAATAAAACATATAATATTAAGCTACGATTTCGAGGCAAATTGATTATCCGAACCGCAAAGAAATCAATGTTTTTTTGCAAAATTTTTATTATCTTTCCAGCTTCAGACAGAAAAGCTAGATGCATCTTACTATTGTATTGTCACCAAACTTAGATAACTGAGGAACTTTCAGATCAATCGTTTACCAGGAAGAAAATGAACCCACATTTACATACAAATATTACTATAGTCGTATTTTTAATTAGACGAAGCTAGCTGACAGTAGCTAATGTCACATTGTAAAATAATGTTGCCATATTTAAATTAATAGTAATGCGTTCAGTTCTCGGTCAGATAAATGAACAATGAGTGTGAATAGTTAATCATTTCAAACTACAAAAGAAAATTGTATAAAAGTGCTCTGATATAAGTTACTAGTAACTACAATCAGTTTTTTGGCGGCTTATTACAAAGCGCGCGGCTACTAGTGCCAACACAAATCAACGTCGCGAGCGTCGGTCGCCATTTTGTTCGTAATTCGGCTTCTAACCTCTGGTCTGAGAGCACCAATGTTTTTTTTGCGCTCACGCTGTTTTGTTAAGTTTTTCCTCATGTTGTGTTTGTGGTAATTGTTGGGTATATTGTATATTTACTATATTGTTTCATACAAACAATATGGATCCTCAACCAAGCACGTCAAGCCAAAGCTTGTCTCCAAGAAAGACGTTACCGAAAAACTTATGATACAAAACGTCTACAAATACGTATTTGAGAAAGCTGCTTCACTATTACCTATTGAGGCTCCCAAAAAAACAAATGTATTTCGAAAACAGCTGACATTTTGGGAATTGGTGTGACCTCAGTCTACAATGTATTAAAATAATACAAAGTGAACAATTTAAGTCTCCGGAGAAACGTGGAGCGAAACACTGTTTCAAAGATAAATTATTATCAATTTTTAGACAGATTTATAATTAATGTCACTGAAAGCGACAATGATTTTTTTATCTGATGATGAATAAAAACAAATTTTGTAATAAGCGCAGTTTTTTATTTTTATTACCTAACTATATTATGTTATATATTGTTATATTTTGTACATCTATAGTTTCAATTACATTATGAATTGTAATTAGGACAGTCTTAAAAGTTTCCACGCAATTTTTTCTTTACGTTTAAAATACTCGGTATTCAGTATAGGTAGATACAATAGGAACATAATCGTCGTAAACTCGTTGGTATGTATAAAGCACGGCTAAAATTCAAACCCCGTACCCGATATCGGCAGTTCGGCACACTAACTATTCACTAGACAATCGAGGCAATTCCATTAATTCAGGAGTTTTTTCAATGATTCACTTTGTCACAACACTATTTTTATTTCATCAAATACTGACAACACAGTAAACGTCAGTTGACTTCGTCTAATTAAAAATATGACTATATAAAAGCTATGCTTTGCTAGAAATTAAATTGAAGCTATACTAAAGCAGTAGTATCAATAATTTTGAGTGTATTTTGGAAGATTTAAGCGAGTTCAGCCTGCACTTGCCAGATTTTGTTTCATTACCTAAGAAAAAATACGAATGTTACGTCAATAGCTCACAACACCTATTATGTTTATATCTTCCTCCATTAAACAATTTGCCGCCAAAACAATAGATCTCAAACTGCGCAAGAGTATTGTAGCTTGTTGGTTTCACAAACTACTGCAATTTAGCTAATTGAGTAGAGTCACAAAGTCATTACCGCTTTTGAATACTGTTTAATGCTTGAATCACGCTAATGAGATCATTATTTTATAGTCAATATAAGTTAATATCGCAAAAAAGATCTGTCGGCGCTTGTGACAATTCAAAATTCAAGTAAGGACAAATAGAATAATGATTATATTCCATAAGTTTTTGTATATTAAAAATAATATACCTGCTTATATTAATTTCCTACATGCAATGTATACATAAATTATAGGATTTAAAATAGTTACTATGTTTAAAAAAGTAAACGCGAGTAACGGATTTAATAAAGTAAATGCAATTTAAAAGAGTCAAAATAATATTGTATTTTATTACTTCGTCTATTTATCTACATAATTTTGTGTAAATTTTTTAGTGTATTCGAATTCGCTTACGAAAATTTGATTTATCCTATGGAAAATGTCGGCAATTGTGCTAATTTTTCCCATATAAGTTCTTTCTGTAACTTTTTTTTGTGAACTAACAGTTGTACCATACCAAATTACTGCTAGGAACTAAAATTTTATTTTATTGCTGATATTAAAAAATCGATAATATACACTAAAATGCAAATACACCGAGACCATAAAAGAAAAACTCGAAATAAAATCCTATATCAATCACGTCCCAGATTGGAAATCTTTCACTTGCGAGGATAGACCTCTCTGTCTACAAGAGAGACGGTGATATGTCGAGATGATTTTTTACATAAGTGAAATGACAAACAAACTGACGTGCCATCAGTGTTTTTTGGCAAAAATTGGTAATTGTCGGCGTATAGCATATGGATGTAAGAAAATACGCCTGTGGAACACCTTAGGCGCCATTCCCGAATATAAAGTTGTTCTGCTATCGTACCTTGTATTTTCACTGCCACCTATCACTCTTCAAACCATAATACAGCACCATAGCTGCTTGGAATTCTTGGCGGCTAAGAACTAAATTTATTAGTACCCTATTATTATAATGTCATATTTACAATACAAAGTGCATGGAAGTAAATAATATTGATAGCCTCGGTGGTCCATTTAGCATACTGGCTTACTTCCAATGATCACGGGTTCGATTCCTCGCATAATACAAATATTTGTATTTATGAGTATAATTGTTTGAATTGGTCAGAATGTATTCTGTGTACATTATGTATGTATTTACAAATCTATCTAATTATTATCACCTATAACACAAACTTGGGTTAGTTTGGAACTAGATGGTGTTGTGTGAACGAGACGGCAATATTATATAAGGCAAAATTCGAACAAAGAATCCCTCTCTCTTCCTTAGAAAATATTAAATAGTCCTCTTACCGCTTGTACTATGGTTGTCATGTTGTCTCGTATAGTCGTTTCTCTCTGGTGACGGCGCCAGATCACTGCCAATACCAGAACTACCTCCAGATGACTCCAGCTTACGCCTTGCGTTCACACCTACAATGTTCTGGTTGAGACAGCGTCGCGTGTCAATATTATTCAAGTTACCCTTCTGTCGATGAACTGTGTCGTAGTCGCGGGGGGGTAGTAATATGGGACTTTTGCCTGGAAAATATCAATATTATCAGTACCGTACACAACACTGACTTTAGTCAAGGTAGCTGAAAGCATACATCAGCGCAACATAATAATTATACTATATATATTTGAGAATACAGTAAATTTGCTACTACATAAATGCAATATAATTAGCACATAAATATTAATTAGCAAAAAATATATGTTATCACTTTGTCAACACAAAATACTTTCGTACACGTTATATGGAGGGGACTTTTCTAATTAAAATATTATGTTCTATATATGTATAATAATTGTTTAACATGAAAATATTATTTAACGAGTCGGGATAAGAGCTCCCTATATTTCGAAGCTTAAAAATATTCTGGTAACTAGTCGACACGTGATAAAAAGATTTTCATGGAAAATATCTACATTTATTTAATATATACATTTAAAGTGTACAATTTTTAACAACCATGAATAAAATATGAAACAATGCTATAATACGTTCATTTTTGTCCACAATAGAACTAGTGCAATTTTTTTACATATATATATGGCTCATATAATTTACTATATCCCATGTGGTAATCAATATTTTACATATGTTTCATATGATTTCTATGTACATCAATGTGACATATATTTATGAAATAAAAATAAGATTTAATATATTATAGTAAATAATCAATACAAATCCTTATAATTTCGAAAAAATAAAAACACTGTGCCAACTGAATTATTATCGCTTTCTGTACGTCAATTTTGGTATATTGAAACAAAAATTAACAAAATTCAAGTCGTTACCACCCAAAATAACAATAAAAAGATTTATTTGACAATGCTCTCCTTCGTTGGCGGTCTCTTTGGAAAATACCCGCGATGTTTTATGATGTGGAGAGCAAGAGGTAGGATCACAAATAAATATTTAAAATGATATACAAACACTCGAAAACGTGTTTTCTATCCTCTTATAAAGAATATAGAGTTACACTACCGTAATACAAAAAATGTAATCATTACATAGTATAAAGTAAAGTCGCTGACGCTGTCTGTCCCTATGTATACTTAAATCTTTAAAACTAAGCAACGGAATTTAACGCGATTTTTTTAAATAGATAGAGTGCATCTAGAGGAAGGTTTATATATGTATATATATATACAATACATGTACACTCGTGCGAATTCGGGGGAGTCGCTAGTATAACATATATTAGTGAAGCTGTAAAGGCCACCTGCAGCCAACAGCATTAGAATAGAATAGAATAGAATAGAATAGAAAATCATTTATTCAAATAAAAATTTCTTTTGAATAGTCATAACAATTTGTTTTTTATCTACCACTCAATAGTTCCAAAAATCGGAGAATAATACCGGCATTATATAATAGGAAGTTGTGCTTATAAAACCTATATTTTATTAGTATATTTAAATGAGGTGTTAATTTTTTTAAATTAAAGACTTTCAGCACCTCTAGTATAGATGTTCTGAAAAGCTTTCATTGTTTCTCGTTGTCGCTCTTGAGGCCTAAGGTTAGCCACACTCCTGGTATTTTGTATAAAATACTTCACCAGTAAATGATAACTTATGATTTAAAAGGTCCTATAATATGTTTTATAGATGTAGTACTACACTGTATAATATAATTATACAATACTTAAATACATACCCATATACCAGCTATATTGTGCACATACAAAATTGCGTGAAAGCGAACACCTAGCTAAATATAGAAACACGAACTGACCTATTCCTTTTTTACCTGTTGACAGTTTTTGTTTCAGCTCCGCAGCGAGACTGTCGTATAAATTTGCGACGCATCGCTCTTCGTTACTACCAGAGTCTGATTCTCTTGAGACTTCACTTCCTAGTGAGGAATCTGGTGGTTTTTTAATAGCGGGCAGAGCACCCCTCATTTGCAGTTTGCGTTCAATGTCAGCGAACTTTTTCTGGTTTTCCGGTCTTTCGATTAAAGCTTGGAGATGGGTATACAGCATTTCTGCTGTATGGTCGGAGTCACATCTGTAAAGATACAATCTATATTAGAACACAAATACTTAATAGACTTTAAATTCATAAAATATAAATTTTAAATTTAATATTCCACTAAATTTTTAATTATTAATATATATCTAAAATCATTTTAATATCATACTTGTACAAATAAACGGTTCGCGTTACGGAAAATTGTAAACGTCTCCTATATATTCTTTAGGTAGGTTTATTGCAAGTTATCTATATGATATAATTTTCATACTGAGAGAGCTATTATTATGTAACATTTTATTACTGATTTAGTCATATGCCTTTTCTGTCCACTAAGTATATATAACGTCTATTTATGAAAGTACTTATTATCAAAAAGAGTACATCTTGAGTAATGTTGACAAGTCGTGATGCGATATGTTTGTCAGTACAATGTGCTTACGTGGGATATGTAATGTCAAAGTTGAACGATTACCTGGTGATTTGGTCTCTAGTAATAGTTACACACATATATAACTCATGCCACTTCCCGCTCTTGCCATTACATTCTTTTATTAAATGGTTCTATACTAATACTACAACACAGTAAAGTTTTGTTTGTTGGTTGAAAATGTAATATCATGATCTACTTGTACGATGTGAAATAATATTTTGATGTTGGATAGATATCGAGCAAGAGACACTATACACGGTAGATAAATATACGTTAAATAGATAGATTAGATAGAAAAAATATATATATTATCGATCTCTTCTAGACAACCTAGAGGAGGAGAGAGGTGAAATGTTATAAAAACATGGAAACCTTTATCCTTTTGAGAGATTTACTGTCTGAGAGATAAGCTGCATCTGCATTATAGTTCTCAATAATTATTAATCATACCGACGTTTAGACGATTGTTAGTTATTTGCTACTGCCAATTGTGTGGGCGTTTCGACCGTCACGTCTCTGCGATATATGATACTATGCTATTGGAAATCTTGTACAAGAGAGTACATAAATATTTTTGCAATACCGGGTGACAGCAGTAACATTCTAAAAGCAAATTGTTCCGACGGATATGTCGTAAGATCGAAGGATTTCAAGCAACCAAGCATAAACTATCGAGCACACACGAGTATGCTTGTGTTCAACGTTGTTAAACGCCCATGGGCGTGTTGGGCCCTCAACACTAAATGCCATTGACGTGCCGGTAAAAATATTATGTAATAGTTGTATCTTAAAGTTACTAAGCATGATATTCATTACATTGTTATGGTAATAAGTGCTCCACTTATTGTTTGAACTTGTTTGGTTGTTTCATAAGCTGCTTAATTATGTTTGAGTTGCAATGCCATACTTTATTTAAATTTGCTACCGCCCACATTGGAATTTGTAAAGCTAAGGATTTACAGTATCAAACATTACGACTACAAACATACAAATTATTATTTATAAGCATAAAAGACTTCATTTCAAGGTCATACATATAAATAAAATAAATATACAGTCAGGGTGAAGGTTTACATTTAACTGCCCACATTTCGCTGGATATATATGAATTTAACATGGCAGGTGGCAAGCCCACCGCAGTATCTTACATTATATAATTTTTAGTTTGTTAATTGTATTTATTTCACCAGAGAAATTAGTCAGAAACATAAATAAAAACATATTTTGTTTTGTGTCGAAGTCAGATTTAAAATCACACATTTTAAATCTAACTTCTGATTGTGATTTTATTTTGATATATCTAAGTCAGTGTACTAAATCAGTAGACCACGACGCTCTTGATTTCAAAGATAAAAGAATAATTGTACAAAAAATATTCAAATAATTCTATATGTTCAAAAAATATTATATTATACAATAATTTTATAAAAGGTTTACCTAGTCTGAAATTTTTTTTGTCTTTTCTGTACTTCTAAAAGTGATTACAAATGTTACCTTATTTATAAATAATACGTTTACATACTAGACGTTTGCTATATTTAGTACGTACTATAGACTTCAATAAGTTACATGTTGAAGATGATTGGCTTTTTATGTATCTGCTAATACTCGATGACACTTAGTGCAAAGTGTAATTTAACAATTATTGTCACTTAAGGACAGTTTACCGATCATAGTGATCAATTGACTTAAATAGCTTTAATGGTATGAACTAAATGTCAATTACATATATTTACAGCCGTTAACAGCTGCCGCACAGGAAATTACACAGTATTGGAATGGCATTTAGCAAGTATAGCATGTGACTTAATCATCTATTATTATGTATGTCAAAGTGAACAGGCTATGTCACAGTATGTAGCAAGACACCGAGTGGGCTCCACTTCGTATGCAAACATGTGGGATTGTTCGAAATTACTATTCATTTCTAATAATGTCGATTTGCTTTTGTTTATTTACGTTACTTGTAGTGGTTGCTATTTAAAGTGCCAGGGAATACATCAGACTAGTTGTAATTTTAAGCAAGTGTTCCAGTCAGTACGGTTATAACGTATCCTATGTTTTATACTAAAATATAAGTTACCAATGGGCCAAAATTTATTCTTTTTTAAATGAAAGAGTAACAATCAGCCATCTTTCCATCCTCGCAAGATGACTATACGGCACTGGTTCAAAAAAGTATTTCAGAGTTTAATTATACTGTTAAAAGATTAATTTCGGAGGTTAGCAGAAAACGACAGTATATGAGTGCACCTTCGACTCTTGGATGGATGACTGTGATTCAAAATCGGCGAAAGAAAGGCAAAAGTCAATCATTGATACTGTAAAAGGAAGAATAAATTGCCAAAAAAGAAGATACGACTTGATCTGAAAATAAATAAAATGATAAACGTACCCATTTATAATATCAATTGGATACATTATCGCTTTTGAGGAATCTTTGCTGGAATTAGGTAGGTATTTTGATTAAATTTTTGGCACGGTTTTTAATTCAAAGAAAAATGATAATTATTTATGGAGTGTTGATTATTAAATATTTTATATAATAAACCTTGTTTTGTTCCAGTTAACTTCAAATATTTTATTATATGCAGGTGCTTCCCATACGTCTGATTATTGATAAGCTTAAGCCAATACAATGAGAACAAGATTGTAAAGTTTGAAAAAGAACTGGTGCGGGAGTATCATCAATCGCGACAATGGTAGCAAGGTCCTTATTACAGACTTCGATACTGTCTTTATAAGATTACATAGCTACAATAAACGAAAAAACATGGCATGATCAAATTAATAAAACATTTATAGATATGACGATACATAGCCTAGCTGCACTTTACTCTTTGAGGAACAAACAAGGATCGTAAATGATCGTATATAAAGAGTAGAGACGATCCAAGAATGCCGACATTTTAAAGTCAAGGCTGATTCAACGACGCTTGTACTTGGGCAGGCTAACATGACGCGTACTACTTATTTATTCACATACTATTAATAATATTAACCACTAATCATGCATTGAAAGCCGAATGTGAACATACATTATTCCGATAGGTAGTTAGTTGTCATAGTCATAATAATGTCTATTCAATTCTTTTTACTTTTCGGTCAGTTTATGACATTATGAAGTTATATATTGTTGTAATTAAAGATATTTTTAAGCGATGAATGTATGACAGTTAACCTGTATCAGTTTATTAACTTAGAATAAATCACATAGGTGTATTTTAATGATTTATTATTCATTGTACTTTAAAATATTATACAGTTATGGCATTTTGTAACTGCTAACTATTAGGTAGAAACAAAAAGCAGACATGGGCAGTGGAGGGACAAATTTATATGCTTATATATTAACTTATAGCTTTGTGTAAAATAATTAAGTTTCAGAAAAGTGACAAAATCCTAATAGTTCAATATTTAACAGATTTAAAAAGATATTTATAAATACAATAAAGCACTTTAATTAATTGCATAAACGTAATACTCTAACGCAATGGTCTTCGTAATTACATAAACAAAAACATTAAATACCAAGACTATTTCCGTTAAACAACTTAAAGATGTTTAACAAAGAAAAAAGCAAACCCGGAAATCTAATCGTAACTTTGGATTGTAACACTATAAGACAAAATAATATAAAAGACACAAAAGCCACCAACATTTTTAATTTTCACTTCATGGTTTGTTAACGGCCCATTGAGTCGTTTTTTAGCACCCAAACGTGTTTCATTGTTACCGACAATGTATTTTTTCTTTGACAGGTGACAATATTGGTGAAAGTTTTGCTAACTTTTTGTCTGTTCGTCTATATCTCTGCCGCATTTAAATAAGTGTCAAAAACAGCGTGAATTGGTAATGCGTAAATAATACGTATCGTACGTGATCAGTTGAACAACTGTAGTGAAAGGATAGTAAAACACTGTTACGTTGTCGGTATTGATTGATTAATTTAAGACTATTGATTTCATTGGATGAAGTATCAAGTGGAAGATGTATTGTCTTGTTCTTTTGTCACGTCTATTCACCTTTGAACTAAAAATTCTTAGAATATTAAAAAAATTAGAAAGTGAACATTAAAGAGAACAAAACTTTTCATTATTAATTTTAAACTATGTAGATACAGTAGTATGTAATGTATTATTCGGAGTTACAGGTTAGTGTACGAATTTGTTAATGAGAGGTCGCTAATTGAACCTTACATAGACACGGATGTATATGTAATAGCTGCCTTACGCGTTTTTGGCGAGAGCGAGAGTTACAGATATATGTTTGTATGTATGTTCTACACATATATGTAGATATAACTATTATTTTAATAGATTCCTCTCAATAATATACTAGCAAGTACATCCTGCTTGGAACTACCAGGTCGCTATAACAGGTAGGTGCTATCATAAACTTGCTAATGGAGATAGCTACCGGATCTAACGGTATTCCAGGTTACTACTTCTATCGTATACTAAAGGCCAGATTTAATTACAAGTAGTAAATTGTTTTTTTTTCATAAGGAAATATTCCTTCCTGTGATATTGTACAATATCACATTAAGAAATAATTCCATATAAAAAAAATATAAGCATAAATTGAAGGAATAATGAACCATCTTGATTATATGGACATGTTTGTTAATTTTGTCTTTCTTGGACCTTAGTGACCTAAATCGTACTAATCTACTTACATTACAAACGAGAAAGTTAGTGGGGATAGATATTTGTTTCGTACAAAATGACTAGATGGATTCGAATGAAATTTGGTTGAAAGATAGATTTTATTATAGATTAGTACAAAAGATATTTTACCCGAATACCAGACATACTAATACAGTTAGAAAGATAGTAGGCGAGAAAAAAAATTAAGACAATATCAATGCTAATGGCTGAATCGAGAATTTTAATTTAATCCACTGTAAGAGTAACTGTTAGGTAATTATTTATAGTATTGTTTTAAAAAATATAATGGAATATACCTGACATTTAATTTGCGTAATAATGACAAAGTACAAGGTAACTTTGAAAACGACAAATTTAAAACGCAAGTATCGAATGATATACTGAAAACCTTATTAGTATTGACACTAGTTCGATCGCCATGGTGATGAAAACGGACACTTTTCTATAATAGTCCTTGTCACAGATTCCTCACAAGTTGCACACAGATGTCGCTACCCGTGACCTCGGCGGATGCTGGGTGCAGAAACGTGAAATGCCATTATAGGGTTGCCAACTTTCTTTATTAAGATTCTAACTTAGATATTATTACGACAAAAGTTATAAAGTCGCATGTAAGACATACCGAGTACAAATGTAAAAAATATATCAAAATTATGAGAAATGGTTTTGTATAACCTAAAAATGGATTCAAATTTATAAATAATAGTATTCATATAATGAATACAATAAAATGAAAGGATTAGAACAATATCTCTACCTACAGGTACTAGGTATGGAGTATTTTTAAGAATAAAAAGTTAATAAATAAGCTAAATAAAAAAAAACTAATATACAAAGATTGGAACAGTAATTTGGAAAAGTATTGGTTGCAACACCGTAAAGTTGCTTTAGCATACAGCTTCATTGAAGTTGCGACATGTATTCAAATGCTTTAAATGTCAGGTGAAGATGGTAAACCCTTTGTTTTCTCGTTTTGCAAGTCTAAAACCCGCCTGATATTCTAAATTAATACAATTTCTATACTATTATAACGTGAACCTATTTAAGAAATTGAAGATTGTTAGCAATTCTATTTATATTTACAATTGAGTATCAATACTTTGTCAATGATCAGCTTGTCTCGATTAACTGATCTAAAAATGGCTATATCCCTATCCCTGTCTTTCCCAAAAAGGTACTACATGTATGCTAAATTTTAAAAGGATTGATCAAAATGGTACCAAAAATGGAGGCAATTTTTTGCTTTTTTTTTCATTTTGTAAATAGAATAGGAATAAACAAAAGATCAATAGTAATTATTCGAATATTTAAACTAACATTTTAACTGGAGTGTACCTTTCATATGCTAGTGAGGTAGGTACTATGTACTGCCTTGTATTAAACAGAGTTATTTTTTTAATCGTACAATTTCAGTCATTTTACTATTTTATATACAATTTTTTTATTGATTACTATAATGTTTTCTTATTTCATTATTCAAATTACAATACTATAGTTATAATAATCAAAGTATCATTTAATGTAATTCTAATGTTTAAACAGTGTACCGTATTGATTACTCACAATTTGTTTGACATTTACAATGAATAAAGGTCGAAAGAGCAAAATGTCATATATGTCTTATTAAATATTTTTCTAGCACTTGGTTGTTAATCAACTGTAAAGTGATGGACACTCCTATGATACCTATTACAAAATAATCACGAGTACAGTTTATCTGTTGATTTTTTGTACTCGAATCAAACAAATGCAAGGATTTGGAGGAATAGTACGAGTATGTATTACAAGGTGACAAAGGAAAACTGTATACAGCTGATATGGTACCAGGTCGCCATAACAGGTAGGTGCTATCATAAACTTGCTAATGGAGATGGCTACCGGATCTAACGGTATTCCAGGTTACTACTTCTATCGTATACTAAAGGCTAGATTTAATTACAAGTAGTAAATTGTTTTTTTTTTAATAAGGAATTATTCCTTCCTGTGATATTGTACAATATCACATTAAGAAATAATTCCATATAAAAAAAATATAAGCATAAATTGAAGGAATAATGAACCATCTTGATTATATGGACATGTTTGTTAATTTTATCTTTCTTGGACCTTAGTGACCTAAATCGTACTAATCTACTTACATTACAAACGAGAAAGTTAGTGGGGATAGATATTTGTTTCGTACAAAATGACTAGATGGATTCGGATGAAATTTGGTTGAAAGATAGATTTTATTATAGATTAGTACAAAAGATATTTTACCCGAATACCAGACATACTAATACAGTTAGAAAGATAGTAGGCGAGAAAAAAATTAAGACAATATCAATACTAATGGCTGAATCGAGAATTTTAATTTAATCCACTGTAAGAGTAACTGTTAGGTAATTATTTATAGTATTGTTTTAAAAAACATAATGGAATATACCTGACATTTAAGTTATATATAAGTTATATATGTATATTTAAGTTATATATGTTACGAGGACGTATATGATTCATAGTGAGTCTCTCAGAAGTTTAAAATTGGAATAAATAATATGTTATCGTTTGACGAAATTTGGTTTGTATATACATATACAATAATAATATTCTCAGGACAACAAAGTGAATACAAATAGTGATCATTGGAAGAGAAAACATACTAAACCGACCTCAAACGACAATGGGTAAGACGATCATGATGATGATTTGTAAGATATAGATAATGCAATATACAGAATCTAAAAACAAAACAATTTACAGATTATCTAAACCTCCTCTTATATTATAAACCTACTATTTGGAGCCATAAATTATTATCAGAAAAATCTTCACCTTGACCCAATGAGCTAGTAAATAAGTTTATGTATAATCGTGATATTCTGTTCTGTTAAGTGAAACCTTGTAAATATGGGAGAACTAATGCAGTATCAAGTAATTAATGCTTAAGGTTTGGTGTGAAATACGAGACCTTGTAGAAGTTCTAACAAAGATACTACAGATAGTTCTAGATTAGACATTATGAAACGATATTTAGATGATTTTATGGCATCACCATATTATCTAATTTTGTGTGTGTTACGGTGTTATACATTTTTGGGTAGTCCAAAACATTTAACGTATATTGTGAAAGGTTGGTACTTATCTGGTATAACTAATATATAAACCTATTCCTAATATCACTCTATTTTTTTATATTAGTTAGTGCAATTTGATTGTGACGTAAGGAGATCATTTAAAAATATAAATATTTTTCAACCAACCAATAACTTTAATGTTTTCCTAAACGAGCCGTAGTAATTTGTTCTCCACTTCTTAGAAAGTATTATGTTATTTTATATCTACAACAATTTAATGAACTACAAATACTTATGCTTTACTATAAATAGTTTTTAGTACTTATTATATTTGTTAACTGACCTGTAAGCGTGTACATGAACAGGACAACCGGTTAAGGGATTGTAGAGTAGAAGAACGCAGGCCACTACGTCGCCCTGCACCACCGCGCTGGTGATACTGCCATGAGGTATGAAATGTTTGATCGTCTGTTGCTTGCCTTTTGATGTAACGTTCTGTATTATCTTCAACCCTTTATGAGACACCTGAGGAAAATAACACAGTATTTAATAAACTAAAAAACCTTAAATACCAATTTAGAAATGCTTTTCTTTTTGGTCTTTATTCTTGCCTTACAAGTTTAGTCTTACAACTCTTACAAGAACTGATAAAATAATGGACTTAGGATGCTGTTGGTTTTGCAGAATGGGGTGGTTTAATGGCTTTCAAGCCATATTGTGCAAAAGATCACTGATGCGTAGAATTCGGAGAAGCGTAAATAGGTCCAAACTGATTGTTTGGACCTATTTACGGTTCTGGGCAAGAATGTCGGATTGTCCACTCCAGAAGCACTGCACTTCTACTTCTTAAACAAAATCTTTTGATGTTCATCAACTTTATAGTTCTAGAATACCACATGTATCTCCAGTCAGATAGTCCGTGATGATTCGAGAGACTACGATAGCGACCATATGATGTAAGTAAAATTATCGCTGAAGATCCATGGGAATATCTGCCGTAGGACAATTTGCAGATAACTTAAAACGATATTATATAACCGTTTTGAAAATAACTTGCATTCTGAAAACTTTAGCATAGAACATAATTTACCTCACTGTCATAACTTAATTATGAAATTAACACGATCTTGCGAGCAGTTTGTTTCTGTTGTGCAACGCAGCAGTATAAGTGAAGTATTACATGATACCACAGTATAAATCATTTAGAACATCATAAATTACTTTCACGCACATTTTGCGAGTTATTTACTTTGTAATTTAAAGAAAAAAAACATGCTGTAAGTCTAGACGGTGTAGTCGAGACTTATTTCTATTGTTTGTAGTTCAGTTAATTTTATTAAGTCACTCAATCAATTCTATTCTATAGTAGGGATAAGTAACAAGTCATACTCAATGAGGCGAATTATTGAATATTTGAGTACTAGTTAAGAGATAACTAGTTAACAGTAACAGTCAAAGTTTTTAATTAGGCAATGTTATTTTTGGCATATATAAAATAACAGATAATTCTGTATCATCATATCTGTTAGAGATATGAAGTATCTAAATTAGAGTTTTAACTTACATACAAGTAATTTAAATATATTCATGAATAAATTAAATATTTTTAAATAAATGTTGTACATGTTTACAATAATACAAATTCATTTTTAATTTAAATTTGGGAGAATAGAGTCAACACCAGTATATGTTATTGCAAAAGCGAACATTATAACATAATACTATATTATATATAACAAATATTTAAAATTATATATTTAACCAATTTCATCATTCCATTCATACTATTACTTTAGTTATTACCGGTTGTTATACTATATAACAACCGGTAATAACTAAAGTAATAGTAACAATAGGTGGTAGCCAACAATACAATATGACGTTTAGATAGAACTTGTGATGATTTGCGATCTACGAGATATTGAAAATTGTTTCAAATACTGACCTGTAAAGTGACTTTGAAAGGCTCCAAATCTCTCGCCCTCTCCTCTAGGATCCTTATGGCCGGTATCGCAAATTCCTCCCCCCTGAGGCCGCGTGACTCTTGCGCTCCAAGAAACCACACGTAGTACGATGCTTTTTTTATGTCTTTCTTTAATCGTAATGCCATTTTGAAGGAGGCCTTATGTCATTGTTGAGTACCTGTAACAAGAATGATTTTTACTTACAATCATTAATATCTACCAATATTATTATAATATCAATTTATATATGCAATATGGTATTATTTTCCTGTTATATCTCCAACTTTCTTACATGTAATAGCTTACCCTAAGATAGCTTTACTTTCTGCAATACCGTCATATTATATAGTTAATACTATAATTAACTATTTATACATATGTTTTTATTCACTGTTTATATGTATTTTCTATTATTGTGTAAAACTAACAAATTCATATTATATCTATCTAGTAATAATGTATCCTTACGACTGTATTACATGATGGGGTCATCAGAGGCAATCTCAACAGTCAACGTCATTGTCAATGCAACACTTGGCATGCCCACATTACACAGAAGAAATTTTAATCCAGTATGATTTGTTATCGAGTTTACAATCAAAAAAGTTTCAGCAATTTAAACAGACATATAAAGTTTGATGTCGGCCAGATTTGATCTGACGACCTTTGATATCTGTAAATCGGGGTAGTAAACTACTAGACCACGACGCTTTCACAAATACTACTTCTGAAATATATCCCTAATACAAAAGAATAATATATATTTCTAAAGGCCAGGTTCTAGGAAAATAACAGGTCGGTTACTTTGCAGAAATGAACACACAATTCTCTAATTTCCTAAATTGCACTTACTTTAGTAAGTTAACTTTATGAAATTGATTCTGTATTCGCTTTCATTTAAGATTCATACCATATAAAAGCTAGACAAGAATATATGTCCGTTATAATAAGAATAAACTGTTAAACGATTAAGTAACCTGTGCTTTTAGGTCACTATTTAAATAAGGCCAATGATAATAAACAAAAATAAAAGTGTCGTCCAAAAAGATTTACCAGCATTGCATAGAAATAGCTGATTTCTTTAACTACATTAGAAGGTATATATTCCAATCACGTACTTTTTTCACTAAATAGGGTAACACCTATGACACAAATACATATAACCGATTACATTATAAGTATAAGATACTGTTTAATAACTAAGTAGGTAACTTAATAGTTCCATAAATTCCAGCCATTTACCATAAATGCAAGCTGACATAAATGAAGCCCAGACGAGTTTTTGTATAAAATACTGCGTAGCGTGTTTAACACTAAAATTATGTGACACGGACATACCTTGTTATATTATTATCTATTCTCTAATAAGTACCTTATTTAAATATTTATCATTTAAACTTTGTGTATAAGGAATACGAACTATTTTACCATGAACATGTATATTAAAAAGACACCCACAATAACAAATTATTATGACTGTGACTATTCATTTAAATCACAGTCGAAGTCGAATATTCATATATTTTAACTTGTCCTCGTATATTTTAACTAGTAATGCCTACGACGTCGTCTGCGTGTATATATAGGTGCATCTGTTATTAATAATCAAACAAATATAAGTAAAGACAACGCCATCTGTTATTTTATTAATATATATTAATTAACACTTGTAGATGACGTAACTAAAAATTAATAGGAAAGATACTAATAATGAAAGAAATCTAAGGAATAGATTTCTTTAACTGTAATTACTTCTGCCGTTTTCACATGGAACATTAACATACAAATAGGTAAACAGACGTTGTTCACGTGGCGTCATAGTTTTATAATATTATTATAAATAATCAAGATTCCCTAATAAGTACCTTATTATATTATGTATCATTTAAGTTTTGAGTAAAAGGAATAAGAATTATTTACAATTGACATGCACCTATATAATACTATACATTAAAAAAATCATCCGCAATTTATTATGACTGTGACTATTAATTTAAATTATAGTTATAGATTCGATTGCCGTAGTATATTAAAATTAAGTAGGATGTGGTCACTTAACAAATCGCCTTGTATTTATAGTCTCACGCAATATATTTCGAAATAAGGGCAGTGTACACAACAGGGGCGTTTGTTTATTATGAATTTTCTCACGTACGTGATTGCGGCACTACGGAACCTTGAAATATATTTTAATTGTTTAACAAAATTTTGTTAATAATTTAGATCGCTTCTGATTTCACAAGTCACCTCGGTCACTATTTTGTGTTAACAAAGTAAATCTCACGAAGATACAATGTTATTGTATACAAAATATATTAATTATGAAAATCTAGAGACGCGAGACGTCTCCGACTGGTTTAACAACATGTAATACACAGGTCACGTTCAATAATATAACTTTCAAATTAGGAAAAAAATACTGTGTAGTGTGCCGGAAATTAACCACGTTATATATATATAAACTTATTTAGTATCGACCTAGTAATAAAAGTATAGACTTATTTTTGAGCAGTTTGAGTCAAAGAATAAAACAATAAAAGCAAAAGAGATGATATTTTAGATGGACTTGTCAAAGTCTTTTAAAGTCAGCCAAAAAAAATATTTCGTAACAGACGAATACAAAAGGGCAATCAAATAATTACAAAGACATATATATTTATGAATTAAGATCAAATATATATAATAAGATGTGTGTATTGAGTTCTGAGCATTGTAAACACAATTTTTTAAGTTTCAAGATTAGTGAATGGAGCAAACTGTACACTTAACAAAAACTGTTCTAATGACCCGAATAGCGGAACTGATTAGTGCTGGAGGTACAACACATCTTGAGTATCACTCTAAAGAAATCTATACACGGTCATACGGCTTCAATTATAATATTTAATACTTAACGTTTCATTTGTTTGATATTCGAATCAAGTCAATAGGTGGTTTATGGTATATTTGCCTAACGTAATGGTCATTTGGGTAAATATATAAGTTTGACTAGAGATATATGCAAAATTCACATGACTTCATGCGCCTGAATACACAACACCACATAATATTTAATATTCTTAAAACCTGTAATCACTGTATTCTGATAATGTATTTTTTTAACACTATTTTTATTAAAGTAACAGATAATATATAAAACTTAAAATAATAATAGTATTGTATGTTGTTATAGTATATTTTATTGTTTGCCTATAATTATTATTACTTTTGATGGTCTCGGTGTCCTAAAACCCTTAGAGAACATCCCCTTACTTGGCATGGTGCTACTCGCGATATACTATAATATATATGGTTGAATCAATCCGCATCACCGTGAACGGACAGCTTAACTATAGAATATTTTCGCAATAAACCGTCATCTACAATACGAAATGATTTGTGCTATTGCGGTAAATTGACTCGTCATTCCCATTACGTTGAGATTACTTGAGATTTATAAAATATCAGATGCCAAAAATGATTGATGTTGTTATATTATTAAAGGAAGTTATTATATAATTCTATCTATCGCCAATAATGACAATTTGTGGAAGGTGTATTTTTTTTATTAAAGTAAGTCGGTGGCGACTGTGACCGTGTGAAATTTGAAAGCATCAAATTTTATTAAAGGTATTCAGTTAAGTATTGTGTTAAGAGAAGGATAAAGGGAGAATAAAATCTTGATCATTATTTCCCCTTCTATATTTATTTTTCTTAAGAACATGAAATAAAGTATGCACATTAAAACGTCTGTCTGGCTTATTTCTGCCGCCAATCAGCTTATTTTATAAACTATATTTTAGGATTGAAGGGCTGGATGGCAATGAAATTATACGGTTTGGAGGAATGGTATCTTAGACCTCCGTTAAGCAAACTCATGAGGGTTGGTACCTACCCTACCATATACCTCACATCTTGTAATGTTTCAAATAATTAGAACCATTAGTTAAATCTTTACAAGATGTGAGGTATAGGGATGGTTATGACGATTACCACTTACCATAAGATGGGCTTGTTGCCATCTAGTTACATAAAAAGAAATAATGAAGATTTCACCCACGCCACTATTAGGTTAATGACAGGGTTTTTTAATTTATTTATTTAAATATCAAAACAACACACATGTCATTTATTGGACCCGCACTAGGCGAACCTGTATAGCACGAGATGCGCTATAAAACATTAGAGTTCATTTATACACTACTTATGAAGAATTGCATTTTATTATATTGATAATGACAGTGATATAGTGTGTATAATCTTTACAAAATTAGACGCTAATTTAAATTAGCATATCTTACACCTCATTGTGTAAGAAAAATAAATTTGTTTTTTTTTTTATTAAAAAAAAAGATCATCAAGAACTCCATTGTCTACTCTTCCATGCAAATTCTCAAGAGCTAGAGCAATCCTAATAGGGTCTATATAAGATAGCAGCCTCTATATTTAGGATTCTTTTAAAGCGGGGACTGTTAAAGAAAACCAAGTTCTGATTAAGCTGCGGTGACTAACATATTCTAAGGTACTTAGATGTTCAAAGTAATTACGTGCTTTTTGTACTTTGTCTGTACCGCTACAGTTGCTATTTTTAATGTTTTTGTTCGTGTTTGTGATGACCGTTCGCCCCGAGACACGAGGAAGTACCGTTATGAATTTTAGTTTTATCAGCTGAGCTGTAGTTATTTGTATGAGTTTAAAACGGTTCTTAATTGAGTATGATATTTAGGACACTGCAGTGTTGAAAGCAGCAACGTGATTAGTTTCTATAATGAATTATTTATGGTTTAATTATTATATATACTTAATATGTCTATACTTGTTTAGTATGTCTAAAATGGGTAATTATTGACTTATAATTTTAGTTGTTTATAATTTTTATATTATTGGAACGGTAAACAAGCTATGATATCTACCTTTATAGTCGTAATCAGCACCACAGATGTAACAAAATAAATTATGGCTTTACTACATCCCTCACGCCTTGCCATTCTTGTGTACTAAGACATCATGCCTACGTACCATGTAATTTTACTGCTATGACTCACCCATCAGTTAGGTTAGTAACTCAAAAAATATGTAGAAATAATTATTCGATAATCGTAAGAAAATACCAACATCCACGCACATTATTAAATACTTATTATATGCAAATGGTGTGCATATGACAATATGTCATTGTGTATGTTCTTGCGATGCTAT